AGGTGATTCTGCCCTTTCATAGTGTGAATGTTCTGTTTCTGGGTCTTAAACCAGATGACCAGGACATAGAAATTCACATTTTGGCAAGTGAATACTGCTCCTAATGGCATATGACACACCAGTTTAGATCTCATCAAACATTACCAAGACCCTGCAAGAACATGAACACAGTGTGATCAAAAGCTAGCCTGACTGCCAACAGATTCAGCCAGATGATGAATCACCACACCATTTCAACAGGAAACCTGTCTCAATGGAAGGAATTAATTTTGCAACATAACAATGAACCCAAGCGCTCAGCTTGTTGTAGTGAAATCCAATTTGGGATTAAAAGAGCCTGATTAAACACTCACAAATATGGTTTTGTCTTCATGGGGTCCTGAGGTGAACATCCCACAGATGTTTTATAGAATTAAAGTCAGATGAGGAGAGCATCCAATGCATAACTCTAAGCTTGCAAGAAAATTATTGTTACATTGGCAACATGGGGAAATACTCTGCTGGCATTCTGTCACATCAGGATGAGCCTGCAGGAAGATAGTAAGTGAGATCCCAAAATTTCATCCAAGTAGCACCAGGCTGCCATCAATCAGTACAAGTGAAGTTCTGTAGTGACAAAATATTTCATTCCACACCATCACACTTTGACTTCCCCATCGATCGGTCCATTGCACACGACAATCAGTGTATGATTTTGCAAATCTGTACCACACTCACTCATGTCCATTGGGTTAGACAATACAAAAAAAATTCATTGCTAAAGAGGACTTGGGTAGCACAAAAAGACTGTTCTCTTGATTAGAGAGGCAAACTGATATCTCTATTTTGCATTCCTGATTTTTACCACATCACATACAGTAGGCCCAATCCAATCTAATCTAATCCACATTAAAATTATGATCATATTTGACATACATTTAATCATAATATTCTCAATATAGATTAAAAAAGATGCACTGAACATCAAGAAATGTATCTCATAGCTACATAGATTCATTACGATAGGGCATATGTTTATGGATGTACAGTGCCTAAACAGAATTAAAAAGATGTGCACAATGTGCAATAATTTACACGTGTGCTTCTATTTCTGACAAGGCACTATATATATATATAGACTTATACAGTATATAGCGCATCTAATTACTACATTACAATAAAGTACTGTAGTAATGCAAAAAAAGAGAAAATGTATGGATGATCTCTGAAAAAGAGTGTAAGATTGAACTGCATTTAACATTAAACTGCAGAGGAATGTATCTTCTGAATACAGTCCTTCTACTTAGAAAGTATCTTATATTAAGTAACATAAAACTTACACTTTACTTCAATATCAATAAATGTAATAAATGTAACCAAGACTGTTATTTAAATAAATATGCTCCTGCTGTTTACAGAAATACTTCTAATAATGTGAATACCTAAATGCATGTTAGCTTTATAAACCAATGAGGTAAAACATATATGATGGTTTCACATAGTATATTATTCTATACAGATGTACAGATGTACGTTATGAATGAACAGAAAATAGCATCACCTATATGCAAAAATGGCAATAAGACCACAAAACAAATGTAGCATTTCATAACATTACAACTCACATCAATAATGTTTAATATGAAGAATGAACACTGATGCTTTCACTGCAGGCACAGTCCAAGGTCATGTGGGCTGAGCCACTCCTTCAGTTGTTTTTTTTATAATGTGCGGGTTTCTTGCAGCTGGGATGGTGCCTCCTTAGCATTGTTACAGAAGGCATGGCTATGATAGTTTTTTTTCCTTCCCTAAATGATGTACATCTAAACACTGTAGTAACGGTGTTGGTTTACAATTGGTCAGCAAGCAAAAATCCCATTATGCACCGATTGTTTTAAAACCCATTCTCTTAACAACTTTACATTTTCCTCCAGATTACTGAAATCAGGCCCAACACAGAAACATATATTGCCCTGTCAGTGCAGTTCCAAATACAGGGTACTAAAATTTGCCTGCAGCATTATTTTGTTGAAGTTTCCCATTACGCTTTTAGTGGCCATGATCTTGCAGATCTCTGTCTGCGTTCTCATAGAAGGGTTTCATAACTCCTTTTGCAGAAAGACACCCCAAAACCCAAATTATCCTGAAACTAGGATCTCACCTTCACCTTTCTCTCAATGACAGACTAGTCTGCTTGAAAATCCCCTCTACTTATTTGTTTTGCTTTACACCTTTCCTCCTCTTCTCCCTGAGTCTTGATACTCATTCTCCCTTGCTCCCTACCCCTTCTTAACTACCCTGTCTTGTGTTCTCTGACATTTTATTAATCTGTTAGTTTCCCTGAAAAACATAATGCCTCTTTTCAGCATTTTCCTCATTTTATTGTAGAACAAAAAGAAAGGTTGTCCCTAAAGTGTTTCTCGTCTCAGTTTTGACCTTTTAACATTCTTACAGTGAGTTACAGTCCAAAATATGCAACAGTAAGGCAATTCTGATGGAAGGATATAAACATTTTCAAGTTAAAAAGGTCTTTATAATATTCAAATTCATGCTTCTGAATGTTACCATAAGTCTACCAACAGGCACTGAAAATTCAATGCACATCTTGTGGAAGAATACAGAACAATATGTTATCCCCAGGGGCCAAAACATTTTCAGTGAGAACTGAAAAACAGCTAAATGGGGGCTTTTACTTTTGATGATAGGACCTTGATTTAAAATAAATGATGCTTTCATTTTGTCTGCTGTTTAATTCAACAGAACAGCTGCTGATGCATTAGCCTGGGTCAAAAAACAGAGAATCAATAGGCAAAATTCATTGCAACCTGTGCATTGCACATTGATAATTTGTCAAGCAACAGTATTGGAGTAACTGATGACTTAAATCAGTAACTACAAACAACCAAGAGCATGTTCGTTCACCCTCTTGGTGAAAAACATTATTGAAGCAGGGGGCTCAGAATTCCTGGCTTTTAAAATCCATTCAATTCACAGATTACGATGAAGTCTCTTTTGCCACAGTAAGCAAATGGTAAGATATATGAACATGCTAGCCCAATGCACAAGGTAATAACAAGAATTCAGGGTCCGATGGCTTCAAAGGGCTCTCAAAACCTCTCCTTTTTCTTTAAAACTTACCTTATCTCAGCAGCAGTTTATATTGGAATAGATTTGCCCTAAAAGTCAGCTCTAATCCAAATTATTTATTATTGGAGATCTCTTCTTTTTTTGTCAACTCTCCCCTGTACTCCATGCTCAGTCTGCAGCATGAAGAGTTATGAAATAAATAAATGAAAACATTTTTTTTTCCTTTAAAACTACTCAGGCCTACAGCTATGCCTCTCTAATCAATAGGATGCCTGACAGGAATATAAATCTAGCCTCCACAATCAACACCTAGAGTTTAACACTTTAGCCTTCTACTCCTTTCATGGTGCATCAGAAGCAGCTTTAGTTGTGTTCAAATTGAGGAAATCCAGTTTCCCTTTTTCCCCCCCTGGGTTTTTATCTTCTTTTGCAATCACATCTGACAACATCTAAATGTGCAATGCTGTAAAATCCTTAATCCAATTCCAAGGTTCCAGCCTCACACGTTCAAAGCAGAATCTTTCATTTATACCACTACACCTGAACGCACTCTTGTCAAGAGCAAAGGTTCTGTTTCTTAGAGCAAATGCCTATCGGGACTAAAGTCTACAAAAGAGTCCTGCCTGCTGCTTTCCTGTCATCTGCTGCACTCTCAGCTGAAAGCAGCTTGTATGACACTTACTTCAAACACCATTTCTTTGCTAAAAAAAAGAACATATGCAAATGTTTGTTTTGACAAACAGAACACTCCAATGAAACATCAACTCATGTGTTATATAAAACGTGTATATAATACGTTTATTCCCGAGGTCAAACCAATATTGTGTATGTTTAAAGCACTACTGATTACTTAAATGAGTGACAACCTGAACTTTATTCTGAGAAACAATAAATAGCCTTTGAACTCCTGATTTACCCAAATGCCAAGACCACAGCAACCATAACAGAGTAATAGGAAGAGGAACAGCACTTCTCATATCCTATAACTTCAACTCACAGGATGTGATTCATTGCGACAAGACGGGTCTGAATTGCAGGTGTCACTCTAAAGGCATAACAGTTTATTTTTATTTATCTTTTATTGATCTTAAATTCTCTGGACTGTGAATTGCTTAAACTTTAATTAGTATCTCCACTTAAGGCAAGAGGGCTTACTTGAACAAAATAAAGCTTCCAAAATGTAGCGCTTAAGACGTATTAAAAATGAATTTCCTTCAAAGGCAAATCTAGAAATCAGAAGGTATGTTTGCAATGCACTTACTGAATATTAAGTGCGTTATTTAAGGACTTTTTCTCCTCAAAAGCAGTCTTAATTACCATCTAGTCAGGCTGCCGTCTCTCTCTGGTCCTCTGAAAATGGGGCTTAAAACACAGTCCCAGTGCAGCTCACACACAACCGTACTGTAGTCACACTTAAGTTAGCTATAGCACCTTGAGGCCTGACTGTCAGCTTTCAGAAGCAAAGCTAGACCTGGAAAGGTAAACCAGACTCCATCCGACAGTGGTGCTTTTATGGTTTGTATATGGACAGTAAGGGGGGCTCCTCAGCATAGTTAGGAGACACATTTACCTAACGCAGCTTAACCATGTTACATGATGCAGCAAGCCAGATGATGAAGCTATGGATCCATCAAAACTCTGAAATACTCACTGTAAAATCTAACTGAAATGACAATGCAGAACGCAAGGTAAAGCATTAAAGATAAAAATGAATAAAAATCACAGAAGTCATTTGCAGAAAAATGTTAAAATATAAATAAAATGCTATGGTTAAATTAATTCTGAAGAAAATATGCTTCTCTTGATAAGCATGAGTAACAGAACAACACTGAAGATTATTACTGGAAAACAGTCTGATGATGACTAACTGGGAGAGACTGGTACTGGTTGGAAGAACGACATTCTTCCTCATAATCCCAAACTTGGGTACTTACAGTTGACACTGGTCTCCTTTGATGCCTTTCGTGGTGCAGTAACATTTTCCCGTGAGGACTTGACAAATATTTGCATGTCCATTGCATTTACAAGCTGTGGGAGAGAAAACAAGGTGGTCAATTTAATCACAATGATCCATAAACACTGACAATTTAAAGCACTGAAAGTCAGTGAGCGTTTCATGTCTAATTGGCAAACAGTAATGCAGAATTACAGCTCCATTTCAGAAGGAACACACATGGTAATTAGCTGCTTCATGGGTTCATTAAAAATGCTATTTTCCTTGATGTTTAGTACAAACATATTTGTGAAATCTCTAACATATGCTATTATTTCCAACAAAGATTGGAACTTTCTTTAAATATTTTTGTTCTTGTAACACACATCAAAACAACGCAATGAATTATCTGCCTTGTGTGTAGAAATATCATTACACTTTAGGCAAAACCAGCAAACTCATTCAGTTCAGCCAGCTGAACGTCAACATTTTACGTCTTCTTTAAAACCGTCTGCTAGAAACCAAATTCAAGATGTGAACTGTATATTTAAAATGTGACAGGTTGCTTGTCAAAACTACAAAAAGGCATAATAAAAATTATTCAATAATGATTCAATGATTCTATGAGAAAATTATTCAATCATTAAATTAAATAAAAATAATGATTAAATTATTCAAAGAAAAGGATCACCTCTATGGAAATCATAGTCAACATGGAAATCGAAAACATGGGTTTTGCCTAACCAGCTTAAGAGTTTAATGAACAAAGCACAGCAATGAATATGCATGGAGCAAAATAATTTTTGCATAAAAAAATAATTTATATTTTTGAAAGGCTTTTGATAAAGTTCTCCAATTTCAAACAGGAGGTACTTAGGAAAAAAAGAGTGACTAAGAATTGGTTGGTATATAGAAAACAGCATACAGATAATGGATGAATGCTAAAACTGGTGTGATGTAATTAGTAATGTAATAATGTAATAATAATCTATAACCACTGCCACTCTTAAATTAAACCAGTGAAAACCCTATTTAGCAAGTCCAGATTTTTTTGGGCATATGTGATAACAAAAAACAGTAACAAAAGTAATACCAAGAGAAAGTAATCACTATACATAAGACCTTTCATCACATGTACACATCTCTCACTTGAGAAAGCTGTTCAGCTGCAATGGCGCAGAACAAGTGACTGGAGAAAGACATGGCGCTCAGGTTTCAACAGGGGAGGTAAAGACTTACACCCAAGGCAAATAGAGACTAACAGTGGTCTTGAACTCCAGAATTTGCTTTTGTCTCAGGATATTAGCAATTATTTAAATGAATGCCCTAATTATCCTTTTTTTCTTTTGGTAAATAATAGCCAGGTGAAGTATAATCTGCTACAGATGTCAGAATCATTACTAGAAACCTCCAACCTAACACTGAGGCTCTATTTGCATTCTATAGTGTTCATGGCAACCTGTGCTACTTTAATTTGCACCACTAACCATTTGAAGAAGTACAAGTAATTTTGAAATACAATGTTGGAATTCCGAGAAACAGTTGAAAGTACAAGATTTTAGAATAAAGTCATATTTTTAGATCTACAGAATAAAGTCATATTTTTAGATCTACAGTACTCCCTGGCAACGGCCCTCCATAGCACAGTGCTTGAGACAGAAATAATGTGTTTCATTGGCTGTATTAATATAACTAACAATTTAAAATTCCTAAAACAGCCGTGTTTTATATATTCATCTCTTGTAGACATCTTGTAGACACTCAAGGACAAGTGTAGTTTTTATTTATATACAAAACGTAGACAGAATTTTGGGGGATAATAACTAATGCATATTTACACCAACTCCAATATAGGCCTACATGTTAATTCTAACATGTACTGTACATGGCAACTTTCAAAGGGGAAAATTATTTTAAGAAGAAATGTTAAAGACGAGATCAAGCAAAAAAAAAAATGCACCCCGAACACAAGACCCTGCATTTCAGTGTCCACAAAGAAAAATGCGCTGCTCAAATTAAAACACATCCCTGCAAAGTACAAAACAGCATGCACTCCACAGCTTCAGGGGTTTCAGTAAAGATATGCTTAATTATGTTCTGGAAATGAAGGACGGATGAAGAAAGGCAATACAGAAATCTACGAGGAGCTGCTCCAGCAGGTCTCGGATGCGGGATGATTTATAGCTAAATTATGATCTATAAAATTTACTCAGATAATACAACTGGAGCATCACGGTTCCAGAGATGCTTGTTCAGCATTTAAATCTAGCAAAAGGCAGCACACAAATTCCTTAAGCTACACGAACTGCGACAGTCTCTGAACAAGAACAAAGGAACATCATATATATCTTAAGACATAACAAAGGAATATTTTCTATACCTTAATTTGTATCTGCTATATTAGCCTGCAAAGGTTATAGCTTTTAACGCAAAGCACATTACACAGTAAATCATCTCTAAACAAATTTGGTTTTAAACATGTAGTTTATACGTACATCCAATGTACCGCATTTCTTCAAGTGAAGCTTTTTATTTTACTTCTAAAAGCTGCATTGTGATATAATGCCCATCACATCTGTTAAAATGGATTGACAGAGTTAATTGCTAGCAAGTGCTCATTCCTGGGTTTTAAAGGTGATATGATTATCAGCCTTGTTTTGCTGACATAGAGCTATTATGGATTCACAACTTATAAACTCTAAGAGCATCATTACCTTCCATCTGTGCCATCAAGAAAACAGTCTACAGTGCCCACCAACAAATGTACTTTAAAAAAAAACAACAACCTGATGGCAGTTATGCCCAATAAATCAACCATCACTGTCTGGAACTGTGTAACAATTGCTTAAAACACTGGATGACTGAGGAAAGTTAACATTTTAATTAATGCACATAACACCATGCACAGGTTTTGCAGATCCAAAACGAGAGAGCAAATCAAGTATAAAAAGAAATTGCTCAAAACAAAATGGCTTTCTGTTCAATGTGAATTCAATTTAATAATGTGTTACCCTGACTCGTGCTTTTCCATTGAGTTTGTTAACATTCATTAAGGGAGATTAACCAGTAATTCTGGTTTAATCAATTTACAGTACCTCTGGGAAACTATCTCAAGACTACCACAAAATGTATCAAAACCAAAAGAATAATTGTTTATAGAGAACATATTATATTGCTTTTAGTTTGTTTCCAATCCACCTGAACTGCTACAGTATATGCACTGCTACCGTATATGCCAGTAGGTAGAGGATTATATGACTAAGTCCACCATGATCACAAGGATTTTATTAAAGGGCCCGTTCTCTGATGATGTTCACTGTTTTCCTCACATTATAAACACAGCAACAGACTTATATACATATATAGCTTCATATACTGTAGCAGTGGTTACTATCTACTATCAGTGGTATTGTCCAAGTGTAGTAGTTTCTTTCTTCAAGAAATAGGTTTCTGTTATTTTTTCATATTCTACCTATGAATATTCCTTGGTGATCAAACCTAAAGTAAACTTGGCTATTTGCACTTGCAGAAACGAATGTGGTTAGCTAGTCTAACCGCTGTAAAAAATTTGATAGCACCCCATTAAGGGTCTCTGTAGTCCCTCTGCTGGCCTCAAAGAATGCTGGCTTTTCATGAGATTATTTATATAGAACTTTCAACTGCTAGGATCTGTGGTGCCAGTGGAGGGATTGCAGAAGTGCTGCTATGGATGCAGGCAAAGGCTTATTGCATGGTGGGTCCACTGCAGCTGTGAGCCACTGGGGGTTCTTAGAAATGGAGAAGTACCATTGATTTGGATGACATATATTGAGGGAAATGTTTTATTTTCCAGTTCCTTTTTGCATTGGAAAACAAAAAAAAATTAACACAAAAAAGGTCATTGTAACAGTGTATCAAGAGTGCTGCAAAGCAGATGATGACAAAGAACTGTGATCAGCTGTAAAATCTACAAGCCCACACTCAAGACAATATCCATCACATCACAAAGGGAAAAACAAACATTACTTTGAAGAAAATAGATTTCACAAAGAGTAAAAAGAAACATCAAACATAGATCACAGATGTGTTACAGAGGGTCTGATCTTCATGAATATGCGATTCCAAAAAGAATGAGGTCTAGTTAATGTACACTAACCTCCCACAAAGCACAACCAAAAACAGGACTAAGACAAAAAAGCAATATTGATTGTTTAATCATCATTATTAATCATTATGATAAATCCAGTTCAAATAATTTTAGAATGTCTCACTGATAAAAAATGAGAGGAATTTGTTACATATCTCCACAGATTTTCAACACTTCATCCATCACGTTGCTCAAGTGTCTCTGCTCCGTTATGAAATGCAACTGCTGAATAAGCAACTAGTGCACAGATCCTAAGTGGCAACACATTTTTAGTTGGAAGGGTATGCGCCTTATCCAACACCATGCCAAATGCCTTGATTTATGCTAACTTTCTTTTCTACAGCATTGCAAGACATTGATTATAATAAAAGACTCTTTGGCAAACTTTACACAATTGATCTGTATAAATAAAACCCTACAGCAAATATTGGCACAAATTATCATCTCAGTGCTGCCATTCAGCAGCATTTGATTTAATTTACTTAATTGAAACAAAAAATCTACTGGCATGTGTGTAAGCACAGAAGAGTGATGCACCAATTTTAGTCCAATTCAGAAAAATTACATTGCTTTTAGGGGGAAAAAGCATGCCAACATTAGAACAAATGTCTCTTAAAACAGAGTCTTGATAAAAAAAATACCTTTCTCAGATTTACAATTGCCAAATAGTGTATAACCTCCAATGATCTAGAAGGGAATGTTATTAGCAGAGCTAAAACTCAACTAGAGGACAGAAGCAACTCTAATCCTCTCACCCACAGGTACAGTACCAGGGCCAACAACCAGAATTGCTTATGCACAATTACCATTGGTGAAAGATATAGACTAGATTTGAACCCACAAGACCTTCAGGTTACAGCTCTCATTCCACACCAAAAAATAAACAATGGTTATTACCAGATTAGATGCACAACCACCCTACACCCACTTTAATAAAAATAGTTTTGGCTGCTGAAGTCATTCTTTGTC